CGAACAACTCTCAATGTCTTAGAATCAAAACTTCAAGCTCAAGTCACCAGAAGAACGGCAGGATCGTTGTCAAACAAGACATTCTTTGTAAAGGGCTTTCAAAAGCCTTATTTTTTTCTAGGTTGAATACTGTACTCATCAAATTTCGGAGGTGCCAGGCCTGGGAAAATCTGTGAGGCATTAGTTTGTCTTCAGCCCTTCTCCACAGCTTTTCTGTTTCACCCTTCTGACAGATCCCAGGGTCATTCCTCCATGGGGCTGCCCATCATCCAACTCCTCCTGGGGATGGACAGTATCAGGTGTGGGCTCATGGAGGCAAAAGCTGTGTGCCCTCTCCTGGAGGGAAGCTACATTAAAAAAAAAAAAAAAACTCACAAGAAATAAAGCCCCAAAAAAAAAGGAAAAAAAAAAAAAACTTCCAAGAATGAAATTAATGGGCCCTGGGTTAATTTCTTTAGACAAACTGGTAGTTCCTCAAGTCACACAATGTTTGGTTAATCACAAGGTTAAATTTGCTATTGGGATCTCTTGATTTCAAAGCTTTTCTTGCCTGAACACAGACTATTGCTTACTGACAGCATGTTAGGCCTATTAGGGTATGAAGTGCATAGTTATCTTCTAGCCAACCATTCAGTTATTTTAAAAGCCAGCAAGAGAGGTTGAATAATTCAGTTCCATAATTCCTAAGTCTCTTTTGGTGGGATTTTTCTGTGGTCTATAATGGGTCTTCCTTTATTGGGACTCTGTAACATTTAATGTTTTGTAGAAGAGGGGAGAAAACTCCATTACTACATCCAAAACCTTAATAGAGACACATGGCTCTTCTGAAGAGACAATTCTCCACTCCCTGGTCAGTTGACAGTAACTGAAACAGCTGATCTGTTATCATGGCCCCGGCCACTCAGACCAGAGCCAGGAACTCAATGAGGCGGTTACCAACTCCAATCCAGCTGGCTTAGCAGAGGCCCAGCTAAAGAGGATACTCACTGCTTAACCCCCTCCAGGCAGTGGACACTGAGAGTATTCACATTGTATCAGAACCAGTGTGGGTTCAGAGGTGAGGAGCATGGGCACTGGAGTCCAGCCACTTGGGTTCAAATGCTAACTCAATTTTAAAAAATCATTAACAAGTCATATTAATTGTGCAAGTTAATGAGTTTGACTGTGAAATTCCCATATGTACATATATGGTATTTTGATCACATCCAACCTCCCTACCACCCTCTTGCACCCCCACCCCCACCGCCTTCTTTTTCCCTAATAGTCCCTCCTCTACTTTCAGGTCTGGCCTTTATTTTATTTTTATTTATTTATTTTTAACAGTTTCCACACATGAGACAGAAGATGTGATACTCATCTTTCTGTGTCTGGCCTATTTTGTTTAACATGGGGTAACAAGATGACTTCCAGTTCCATCCATTTTCTTATAAATGACATGATTTTGTTCTTTTTCAAGGCTGAATAATATTGCATACGTATGCCCTACTTTCTTTATCCATTCATCTGCTGACAGGCACCTAAGCTGGTTCCACAACATGGCTATTGTGCATAGTACCACAACAAACACAGGTGTGCAGGTATCTTATTTATGCTGACTTCATTACCTGGGACTGGTATATATTTTTTAGTGTTTTCAGGACCCTCCATACTGATTTCCATAGTGGGCTGTACTCGTTTAACCTCACTAACAGCATAGAAGGGTTCCTTTCTCCCCACATCCTTGCCAGCATTTGTTATTTTTTGTTTTGTTGATAATAGCCATTCTGACCAGGGTGAGATGGAATCTCAATATGGTTTTGATGTCTATTTCTCTGACAATGAAAGATGTTGAAGAACTTTTCATATATTCACTGGTCATTTGTTCCTCTACTTTTGAGAAGTATCTGTACATATCACTTGCTCATTTTTAATTGTATTATTTGTTCTTTCGTTGTATTTTTATATTGTATTACTTGTTCTTTCATTGAAAGAATAAGGAGAATAAATTTATGAAGTTGTTTATATATTCAGGATGTTAATCCTCTGTCAGGCGAATAGCTGACAAATATTTCCCCATTTTGTAGGTCATCTCTTCACTGTTGTTTCCTTTTCAGGGCAGAAGCTTTGTAAGTTGATGAGATTCCATTTGTCAATTGTTCCTTTTATTTCCTGAGTTAATGAGGTCCTATTCAGGAAATTTTTACCAAATGCTAACTCTACCAATAGCTATTTAGGCAACCTCATGATATTTATTTTACCTGCTGTCCTTGGATTCTATTAAGTCAGTACCTACCCTATAGGTGGTTGAAGATGAAATGACATAATACATGTGAAGCATAGCCAGTGCCATATGAGTGTTGGCCGTTAATGGTTTTACCTAATAACTGAACTGTTTCATATTACTTCAGATTTTGCAGACAAATTTGTAACTAATTTTAATTTATTAAGATGTGGGTTTAAAAGAGCATTAGCTCTTTTTCACTGCTATTTTCCCTTCTTCTACTATGAAGTTTCTCTCCAGTGTCTCAAGTCCTAAAAAATGGTATCCATGTGTGGCAAGGATCCTAGTAGGTAAGTCACACACTAAACAGCAGACGTCAGGAGCTCCAACAGTCGTTTTTAGGTTTCCACTGCCCATCAGGGAGCCATAAACCTCCCTTTTGTACCCCTTCATTATCACAGTGCACACTGGCATGGGATCCAGTTTCTGCTGAACTCAAGCCAACAGTGAGAAGCTGTTGGTCGTCTTTTTCATGCAGGCTCCTGGCAAGAGGTACAGGCAGCGATAAGCCACTGTATAGGATATATATTCCACATTTATGTCATATCTTTTCTTTTTTTAATAAATGTGTATACTAAATTAAGATTTTATAGAGGTGACATGTAAACATGAATTCCTTCAGATAAAGGAGTCACAAAGCTCATGTGAATATCATCTTAATGAAAGGCAGATCTGTGATATCTTGGGGTTTAGAGAAAACTGATATCATTGAGGACCTGGGTAACATCTGAATAGATACTGGCTGAATGGGTCTTGTTCATCACATTGTTTTCTTTTATTGCACCATGGAGCTATACAAATATTTGTTGAATATTTATGCTATGTGCTTTCTCTTTATATGAAATGCCTGTCACATAAATGTTAATTAATGTTTGTTGATTTGTTGAAGCATTTAAATTGGGAGGTTGAGAATATTTTATTTAAAAGCTTCATCGTTTAGATATCATATCTTCTTGTGTTTTGGCATTTAACTAGAATGGTTTTTTTCTAAAATACCATACCAGGAAAATTTTATATTCCATAGTATTTTGAACAGTTTCTATTTTGGTGGAGGGCAGCAGGATTCCAGTAAAGAAACAGTGAGTTTAGTACTTTTACCTTTTGGCTTAGCTAACAAACATCAAATTAAAGTCACATATTACCTTAAGACAGTTGGTACTGCAATTGATAAAAAAAGGACATTGACAGCATTATTTTTAGGTATTAAAAATAGAGCATTTTGAAAGAACTCCAGAGACTGCACATTTTCTTTGCAAATACAAATTATTTCCTACTGAAAATACGGGGATGAATCAAGTAGTGATGTCAGAAGTCTAATAAATCTTGTTGGTAAATTACAGAAGCACATAAAATATGTCTAAAAGGTAGCTCATGCTAGCAGAATATATTATATAAATCTACAAGTATTTTATATATATATATATATATATATATATATATATATATGTGTGTGTGTGTGTGTGTGTGTGTGTGTGTGTGTTAAAGAATATACATATATTCTTTAACTTTTCGAGAAACTGAAGTATTTTAACTTTAAACCATTTTAGGGATGGCTCTGTTTCAGACCCTATTCTTATTTCCTAATCTTTTATTATTTTACTCTATTTCTAGAAGGACTAGACCTCACAATGGGTAAAGGACTGCCTGCCATGATTTATCCAAACATTTCAAAAGGCCACATCCAGAATAATATGAGTTTTACCAAAGAAAAATACAAGGTTCTTCAGGGTCATAGAACTTGCAGCAGAGGGACTAGGAAAGCTCAGCTGGCCACCACAGCTGGATTAAACACAATGTTCCTTCCTCCAGAGCTGCATTTGTTGAGATGTCACTTATGGGCTCAGTAGGAAAAGACAAGACACCCCAAGCCATAAAATCAGTCCACAATCTCAGCTCTTGGGCATGAGCTGAGAGGCATCAGTAAATCTTGGCCCCACACTTTTTCAAAATGCCAAAAATCACCTGTTAGTTATCATTCTTTTCATTTAGCTTTTCTGGTCTTTAATACCTTCTGTAAAAGATCCTAAAGGTAGTAAATTCTTAGTGATAAACCTTTTTGATAACTAGATTACTGATGGGATACTATAAGCCCTTGAGAAAAGGAAGAGGACTGGTGAGTTGTTGATGGGATGAGGTGAAGCATTTGCTTCTGCTCAGAGGAGATAGAAATGGTAGACACAGTGGTGCCAGGCGGCTGCAGAACAGCGCCAAGTTTGAGGTGGTTAGGAAGGGCACTTGGGGCATGAGAAGAGAGGAAGAGGGGCCTTGGGAGTGAGGTGGGAAATCTATTCTGGAAAGATAAATGAAAGTAATCAAAAGTAAGTCTCTATTTCTCTGCCTGTACATATGCCCGCACAGACACATACACATGTGTTTCTTTTCTTCTTTCCCACCCCTTAGCTAGTGAGTCTAACCCAGCATCAGTGTGGTCTTCAATAGACTTTTTAAAAACTCTAAAACATGGTTTCAGAGTTTTTTGAAATATAGAAAATATTTCAAAGTTTTCTATAAAGATTCATAGAAAATGCATATTAACTCATAGAAAAAAATAATCCCACGTTCTTAAAATATTTCAATATATGTAAGTATTGTTTATATGTGCATAATTGGGTTTATGCCTATAAGATTTTTAAGAATCTGAATATATATTTTAACTCTTAAAAATGATTAAGTGTTCCCTTCCTAAAAAAAGGGAATTGTGGTTATCTTCAATTGTTTTTATTTTAAAAACTTTCATTGCAAAAATATGAAGTGCTTCACAAATTTGCATGTCATCCTTGTGCAGGGCCATGCTAATCTTCTCTGATTGTTCCAATTTTAGTATATGTGCTGCCGAAGCTACCACTTCAATATATATATATATTTTAAACCTTTTGATGAAACCTAAGAGCTGCTTCCCAGTGGCATCTCCCTTCCCCAAAGTCTTGCTCTTTTGTCATGGTTAAGTCTTTTGCTTTTGGTTTACTTTTAGCTACTATTCATGAGTCCCCAATTCCCTCCACCTCACCTCCCCCATCAAAAGGGAGGCAGGGTAAATTTTCCCTATTAACAGCTTCCTTGGCTTTAGGATTATTCTTTAGTTTTTCTTCTTAGTTGAGCCCCCCTCCCTTCCCCTTCCTCTGAAATACGGCGTGGTTGTGATCTTTACTGTAGTAGGAAGTACATCCTGAGTAACTGAAAACTATTGAGGCAGATTAGACTGTCTCCTTCAGACCACTCTGTGTTTGTGCTTCCCTTTCCTAGTTTTCAGTTGTTGGGGAGGGGAGGGGAAAAGAGGGTGCGGTTTGCTTGCTCTGAGTGCTTTTTAACCCTGTGCTAGGTTGTTCTCCCTTTCAGACAGGTTGCCTTTGTCTGTGGAAAAGAAGGTATTTTCCTGTCTGAGCCCAACCCTCTGACATCAAACTGCCCTTCTGGCTTTCTGGGCCAACCTGCCTGTTGTCTTCTGGGCTCTGCTAGGATATCATCTAGCAGGCCTTTCTCTCCTGACTCCAGGCCTTACCTAAGGTACATTTAGAGCCAACTATCTTTCCCTTAGTGATTTATAACCTTTAAGTTTATTCTTCCTTGTCTTTGGGGGGAAGGGAAAAGGATGGGGGAGAGTACTGAACCCAGGAGGTTCATCCCAACCCATTTAATTTTGAGAAAGGGTCTCTTGATAAGTTGTCCAGGCTGGCCTCCTGCTTCAGCTCCCCAAGTCACAGGGATTACAGATGTGCACCACCATGTCCTGTCACTGTTAGGTTCAAATGTCATTAAGAAGAGAATAAATAAGTTACAGTCTGTTCCTACACTAGAATATTATTCTGACAGTGACAATGAATGAACTAGAGCCAATATATCATCATTGATGAAACTCACAAACTTATTATTGAAAAAAATGCAAGCCACATTTGTACCATGAATACAAAGTTTGAAAGCTATGCACAAAAAATGCTATATATTTCTAAGAGATAGCACTAACATTTTCCTGATCTATATCTATATACACATTTATCTATGAAATATAGTTATAAATATACATGTGTATATATTCATAATAAATACATATATGTATAATAAAATACTGGTTAGTATATATTTCTTAAGCTAAGTAGATGATATATCAATAATACATGTAAATTTTATGTATAACAAATAGAAATTGCCTTCTAGCCTTTTCTGTAACAAGGTAGTTGAGATATTTTCTTAAGTTAGATGTAATTTTGATATAGAATCATTTATTTGCCTTAACAATGTAAAATTATGGTAAGAAGTTCCTGGCTCTATTTTCTTAGGAAAATAGCTTCTGTGTCATTTCAAGTTAACTTGACATTCTCTTTTTCTTGTTTAAGCACAAATCACAGCAGGGAACTTAAATCCTAATTAAAGCCAGCTCTTCTTTTTCTCAAAACTAACTATGGAATTAATGTGGATCTGGCACTAAACAAAGCATAAGCAACCTAGCTACAATTTCTGCCCATCTCTATCCAGGTTTCAGTGTTATATTTCATTAAAATATTCAGAGAATATTTTCTATCTTATTTACTTGACATTATAGTGGGGCCAAGGACATGTGCACAGAATCCCAGATAATTAAAATAATTAATCTCAGTTATCAACTGGTTCATCTGTACCTACCTTTTCTTTAAGCTACTTTTCTTTTTCTGTGCAACAGACTGGTACCACACAGCTACTACAAGCCATAAATAATATAATTCGTGTAGTATTAGCACTTGCCAGTGTTTTCAATGTGAGATAATCAGTTGAAGTTCCTTTGCTGCAAGTTTCTAATACAAATCATACATATATAAACCAACAGATAAGCTTTTTGAGATTATTAATATTTTAAAAATTTTATTCCAAATAATGGTAGAAACCATGAAACTTTAAATTATATCCTAAACTAAGGGAGAACTGAAATAAAACAAATTTAATGGTACCTAAAAAAATGCTTTGAAGACACTAATGTATTATATTCATGTGGAACTATAATGTAAAATGTAAATTCCTGTGAGGTAGAAATAGATATTTCCTTGCCCACAACCTCAACTACCAAGTTCCTTAGGTTCTCAAAGGCATCCCAAGTACATAAAACTTCAGGCTACTATTATTTGCAACAGAATAGAATTGGGAAAAAGGTAAACCTCAAATGTAAGCTTATAAAAAAAAAAAAATGAATGGCCTGAGTGTGTATCACTCTCAGGTTGGTTTAAAAAGTGCAAATGTTTATTCAGGAGGCTGAGGAAGGAAGATTGCAAATTTGAGGCCAGTTTGAGCAATGTAGTGAGGCCCTCAAGTAACTTAGGGAGACTGTCTCAAAAACTAAAAAGGGCTGGGATATGATTCATCTGTAAAGTGCCCTTAGGTTCAATCCCCAGGGCCCCCTCCCCCTCACAAATGCAAACAGGCACCTGCACCACACACAGGATCACACATGTAGAGTAACTGATAAGAGAAATTCGGTAAAAAGTGAATAATAGGTATATCTGGATTAAGATATATGGGTGTTCTTTGTACTATTCTCATTCTTGTAACTTTTAAGTTTGAAATTACTTCTAAATAAAACATTAAGAAGCAAAGTTAATGGCTCAATTTTTCAGTTTGCGGGGGGTGGGGGGTAGAGGGGGAGAACTGAAATAAAACAAATTTGTGGAGGGGGAGCAGGGGGAGATGGCAGGAGGCTTCTGAAAAGGGGCAGCTGTTAAGTTTCCAACCTAGTCCCTGGAGGCCTAGACCCTATAACAAGTTCCAGTTCTGATATAGTCTGTTTTTTTTTCATTTATTACAGGTAAAAAGATTGTATACAGCCATGTTTCCAGGGGGGAAATTATTCCTTTCTGGCATAGGTTTGAGACCAAACATTGGTTTTGAGAGTAAGGCCTCTAAGATATGCCCAACTTTCAGAATATTCATGGAATGATGCAGAACAGCTGATAGTAAAAAGGGAAAATTCAATCATACCTGATGATCCAGTTCCAAACAAATCTTAGAAAACCTGATGAATGGCATAGCCATGATTAGTTGAGTATCTCAGAAGGGTCTATGCTTTTATTCTAATTTTGGGTTAGTTTCATGGAGCTGACAGAAGACTCGAGACACGTGGGTAAGAAATGAAAAGATTTTCTTAGAGTAGTGAGAATGTCAGATGTTTGTAATGATTCCCTGAACTCCAATTCCCACAGGAATATAGAGAACAGGAGAGAGAAAATATTTGATGAGACAATAATGGCTGAAAAGTCTCTAAAAGCTCCGGAGATGCCTTCTGATGATCAGCCAGTTTTGATAATTACAGGGTAAATAATAGGCTATTTCTCCTCACTCCATGAACTGACAATCTAAGTGAACCAGAGGGTGGATAGAAGCTAACCAGATGTATCTGCTATTCACTGTATTAATGAGGCATAAATCATGCCGACAGGTCAATATAAATAGAACAATAAAGAAGAGGATTCTGTTTAAAGCCAGAAAATTCCCTATGATAACCTCCCAAAAGAGGTTCAGCTGTACCAGCTTCAGTCCTTTATAAGAAAATAACTAGAAGATGCTTCAGATCTATGCTTCTTTTATTTGCAAGCACCCAACAGTTTTATGTGCCCAGAATATAACTATTAGTAAATACTAATTGAATATTGAAAGAAATGAGCAAAAAGAAAAGATATCTAGAACTTTTCTCAAAGAAAGCAAGATTCAAGTACAAGGATTAAAAACATTACCTTATTTTAGCTCTATACACAATAATCTACATCTATTTCTACTTCTATATTTTTAGCACATCCCAGTAACTAATTTTGATGATAATGACACTCATTCATCCATTTATTTTCATTATTTTAACAGTCATTTACTGAAAGCCTCCTATGAACTATGGCCTATGCTGAGGTCTGAGGACACAAAAATGATTAAGTTCTCAATATTCTCACGGTCTAATAGAAGGAGATAGAAATATAAATAATTAAAACACTTTCTAATAAGTGCTATATTAGTCTCATTTCTAAATGGAAATGTCTAGAATATTCTTTTTTAAAACATTTAAACTATTTTTTTAGTTATAGTTGGACACAATACCTTTATTTTATTTATTTATATGTGGTGCTGAGGATTGAACCTAGGGCCTCACAAGCACTAGGTAAGTGCTCTACCACTGAGCCACAACCCCAGCCCCTAGAATATTCTTTTTATAAGTCCAAGAAATTCATAGTAGTTTTCAGTAATAATAATGCTTTTAGTCAAGAATTGTGGAGTCAGAGCTAGATTCAAGACTAGGCCTTATTCAGTCCCTTTTCAATATAAGTTGTGAGACATGGGTTAGCATAGCTCTGGACCACAACTCCTTCCTCTGTGAAATGGAGATTAATATCATTTCCTATCTCATCCTGTTGACTTAGAATAGTGCCTGAAACAAAAATTACAGACGGTTGATGGGGGTTGGTGTTAGTAATAATAGTAACATTTCCTTTGTAGTGCATAAAATTTTAATCCTTAGTTATCTGTAAAGGACATTTATCCAGAATAGTTTATTTCTCAATGATTCTAGATAGCTAATTTTTAATAGGCATTATACCAAGAACCAGGAGAAGAAAGATGAGAAAGACTCAGTCTCTGCCCTCTAGCAGAAGTATTATCAGTGATACCTGTGAGGATGTCATTTGTAATCAACTAAGATTCTAGAAAGTTAAAACAGCATTGAAGTATAAAAGATATTTCAAACACACTCGCCTTTTCTTAAGCAAGAATGCTTCAAAGTGAAGTGTCACAGGGGAATTCTGATTTATGGTGAAGCTTTTCCAAGTTGCACAGCTCCAAATAGCATTCTGTAAGTCCCAAGTAGTAAAATGGGAGTCATTTGACAGGTCTGTCACTTCATTT